TATGCTGCTAGAAACACTATAGCTTTGAACTGGAAATCTCCAAAATCTCCTGCTCTCGCACACTGGCACTGAAAACTATACATTTTTTAATTATTCATTGAAAAGGGACAATGTTTTCTATATAGCTGCTATGGGCTACACTGCAGCACTCAGGACTCTTAAGTACGGTTCTGCCTGGGTTGAAAAAGGCTGGAAAAATGATAAGAAAGGGTTTCTCGCTCTCTTTGAAAAAGATGTCCCCCCCCCCCCCCACTCTATCAATGCCTTTAGCATCGGTGATCCCCGGCCCTAAAGATATCTGCCTGTCCTCGACCAGAACCAGGGCTTTCTCGGCCCTGGCTCCAACTTCCGTCAGGGCCCTGCAGGATTTAATGCAGTTCCGCAGGGCCTGTAAGGCAGAGATATTCTGCCACGCTTTTGGTTGAGGACAGCAACGTTTTCCCATCATAGCTGGCACCGACGCTCCCTCTAAGCTGTGGAGTCTTGTGAGCAAAAATCCTACTTTGTGAGCGACTGGCATAAAAGTTGTGCATGAGCAATCTGGCTGCTGCATAAAGTAGTTTGCTCTGGAGCCATCCTTCCTAAGCTACGACAAAAATGTGTGAGCCGGAGGCTAAAAACTGAGAGATAGCTCACACTAATTCAGCTTAGAGGGAACACTGGCTGGCACCCTCTTTTCTTCCATTCTGCCCACTTTGGCCTCCTCCTTAACTGACCCATGAGATAGAAAAACAGGCCAGAGTAGGTTTTGGATTAAATTATGGACGCCACCCAGAGATTGTTAAAAAAGAATAGTTTGGTGTAGTGGTTAAGTGCGCGGACTCTAACCTGGGAGAACTGGGTTTGATTCCCCACTCCTCCGCTTGCACCTGGCTGGATGACCTTGCACAAGCCATAGTTTCGTCAGAGCTGATCTTGAAAAAGAGCAGTTTCTGTCAGAGCTCTCTCAGCCCCGCCCACCTCACAGGGTGTCTGTTGTGTAGAGGGGAAGGGAAAGGAGTTTGTAAGCCGCTCTGAGACTCCTTCAGGTAATGGATGGGGTATAAATCCAATCTCCTCCTCCTCCTTCTCCTCCTCTTCTCCTCCTCTTCCTCTTCCTCTTCTTCTTCTTCTTCTTGATTGTTGGATTTAATCTGTAATTTTGTGTTGTTTTAATCTATTGTAAATCGCCCGGAGTCTTGTGTACTCAATTACTGGGCGACCCAGAAATTTAATGAATAAATAAATGTCTAGAGATCTCCCCCAGCAGAGGATAGGGCTCCAGGCATTTAATTCTGAAATAATCAACCCTCAGCTTTGAAGTTCGAAAGTATTAGTCCATTAATGATTAATATTTTATTTCTCAGTAGAATTTAGTCTAACATAATAGAAGATCAAGCAGAAGTTCTAGTTATCTCGGCTGGGTGGGAATTTCCGGCTGATGCCTCCTAAAGAGTTAAATGTTGAGCTACATCCGTTCCTATATTTAAAAGGTTCAATCAGACCTAATGAAGACTATAAAATTAAGTGTGTGCTTGAAGACTATAAAACTGAGCGTGCGCTTCCTACTTAGTTGGAACTATCTTAAATGCCTTAATTTGGTTCCTCCGGCTGTCTGTCTGTTAGGAGAATTTGTGTTACGCCAGCATTAAAGGAGTAATATTTTGGTGCCAGGGGGAGGAATCCCCCCCCACCTCCCCAGTTAGGTTATCCGTTGCAGTGCAAATTAAAGTACAAATTAAATAGGCACCGATTGGTTGATGCCTGTGATATCCCTGGTGACAAGTAATTTACGTATACCTCCCTCTTGCTCATTCTGTGTTGTAGCCTCTTCTTTTAATATGAAAAGTTTGCATTTCTTTTAATTTCTTTAAAAGTTTTTGGTGTGTTTAGACCTCTGGGGGGCTGAGTGACCCCCCTCCACCAATACATGAGAACATTTAGAGTTTTTTGTTCCCTCACCACAGGGGCCCTGACATCTTTTAAACTCCCCTCCCTCCCTCCCTCCCTCCCTCCCTTCCTTCCTAGAACATAAGAATATAAGAGACACCAATGTTGGATCAGGCCAAAGGCCCATCCAGTCCAACACTCTGTGTCACACAGTGGCTAGAAATACCAGTGCCATCAGGAGCCACTGAAATATCAGTGCCATTCTGTTTTGCCGTTTTCCTCACTCTCTCTCTACCTTCCTCTTTCCTGTCCTCTGTCCTCTTCTTTCTTTCCTTCCTTCCTTCCTGCTTTCCTTATAATTTCTCATCTTTCTTTACTTCCTTCCTGTTCTTGGTCATTCCTCCTGCAAAGGACTGGGTTCGCCGCATGGAGGACTCGGATGACGACATGCGGTTGCACACGTTTATTGTACTTAACACAAGACTAACGCTAACGGCTCGACAGGGCCAACTGCCGTTTGGATGGCGTCTGCAGCGGTCGCTGTGCATGTTCCACCGGAGCGTTAGGAGAAGGCCTGCCAGTTTTGCTGTTTTTTGCATTTGATGGGAAGCGGAAGGGACAGATGCTCCGCAGTGGGGCATGTCTCGAGAGGGCCGTTGGGGCGGAACGCGTTCAGGATGCGCACTGAGCATGGCACGAGGGCATCTCGGCAGGAGTGGCCGTGTTCCCAAGAGCCTGGATTCCAGTTTCTCAGCCACAATCTCTTCATGCTGTTCTAAACGTAACTAAGGCAACAGCCAGATTCGGCTCCAGTAGCTCCTTAGAGACCAACAAGATTTTTTTTTGAGGTATAAGCTTCTGAGAGTCTGAGCTCCCCTTGTATCTGAGGAAGAGAGATCTGACTTTTGGAAACTCACACCCCGAACACCTTGTTGATCTCTAAAGGTGCTACTGAGCTTGTATCTGTCTGCTGTATTGCGGAACAACAAGGCTACCCTCTGACAGCGCTCCCGAGCCCTTTCTGAGCCTGGAGGCACCTTCGGAATTCTGACACATGGCGGGCATAACTGCAAAATGGCCGCCACGAGGGGCGGAGCCAACCTCAAAATGTCAGAGAGTGAGGTTTCATGTTGGCCTGATAGTAGCTCTCCAACGTTTCCGGCAGAAGCTTTGTTTAGTGATTTGTCTCTTAAGACAAAGAAGTTATTTAAAACTCTTTTCTTTTACATACACACAAAATAAATATACAGAGTCGGAGAGCGGCTCACAATCTCCTTTCCCTTCCCCTCCCCACAACAGACACCCTGTGAGGCAGGTGTGGCTGAGAGAGCTCTTTCCAGAACTGCCCTCGAGAGAACAGCTCTGAGAGGACTTGTGACTGACCCCAGGTCACACCAGCAGCTGCATGTGGAGGAGTGGGGAATCAAACCTGATTCTCCCAGATTCGAGTCCGCACTCTTAACCACTACACCAAGCTGTGTAAAGAACCACACGTGGGCAGTAGCTGTCTTAATTTTGCAGGCATCAGACTGGGCTAATCCCCTTGACATGAGCTGGACATTTTCTAAAATCGCTTAGTAGGCACCAGGAAAAGTATCAGAAGGCACCTTGGTGGGCACCATGTTGGGGACCCCCTGTGGGCGCCACGTAGGGGTCCGCTGCTCTATAGCAAAGGGAAGTAGTCTCAGTAAAGGGCAGGGTCCCTTTCCCGGCCAGGCGTGGCAGTCAGAGCTCTGAACATGCATGGAGCTGTCCTGCAGCGTTCGTAAACTTGGAAAGGGTCAAAGGGCCGGAGAGCGGACAGCCGAGCAGCACCAGAGCGGTCCAGCCGGTTGCGCGAGTGGCGTGCAGGAGGCCGTCCCGAGACACCAAGCAAAGGTTCAGCTGCTCGGTCTGCATTTTGCATTTTTTTAGTTTCTTTTCGAAATCTGATTACTTTAGGATCCCACTGCACAGGTCATCTTCTACTCCCCCCCCCCTTGGCCTAAAGGTTGCATTAAATATGTTGGATGATGTATGGGTTGACCAAGATGGCCCAGGCTAGCCCGATTTCGTCAGATCCTGAAACCTAAACAGCACCAGCCCTACTCAGTTATTTGTATGGGAGGCCGCCAGTGTTCAATTTCTCCCTCCCCCTACTGAGCAGAGCAGTTCATGTCCTGAGCAGAATACAACTCCTGTAATCTTAAAATGGGCAGTGGATAGTGCAAGATCCTGCGTGGCTCCAGGTTGCCGCTGTGCGGGGCTTCCTGTGTTAATGAACGGCCGTTTATGTGCACAGCTCAGAGCAGGGGTGTCAAACGTTGTGGCCCGGGAGCCGGATTAGGCCCCCGGCCCGGGGGCCGGATTAGGCCCCCGGAGGGTTTCTTTCAGGCCCGCAGTGGAACTGGCTGTCTTCTGCTTCTTCTTCCAGTTCTGCTGCTGCAGCATGATCGTAGGTTTGCAGCTTACAAATAACACACCCGAACAGCATACTCAAGATTGCAACAGCACAGGCATTTTGATGGAATAATTCAGAGCAAGAGGTGTTAGTTATCAGACACTGGTAAATAAACAAAATATTGCAAGAGTGCTGATGTTTTAAGCTTGTTTTTATTTTAAGTTTTAAAAAACCCTTTGTGTTTGTGTCCTTTATAAAGTTTATATCTCTGCTACCTGGTATTAAATTTTATGACACACGTGGCCCGGCCCGACAAGGTCTCATTTACATCGGATCCAACCCTCATAACAAATGAGTTCAGCACCCCTGGCTTAGAGGGACCAAAAGCAGCAGACGCCATTCTCCAATTCTCCATTTTATCCTCACAACAACCCCATGAGGGCAGCTTAGGCTGAGACAGTGTGACTCTCCTCTCCTCCATTTTATCCTCACAACACCCCCTGGGAGGTAGGTTAGGCTTGGGAGAGTGTGACTGGCCCAAGGTCACCCAGCGAGCTTCCATGGCACAAGTAGGGATTCGAACCCGGGCCTCCCAGATACTAGTCCGACAGTCTGAACCACTGTATCTTACTGGCTCTCGTGTTGCACTGCAGGGTTTTTTTGTTGCTGTTGATTAGTTTTGCAGTAGTAGGCCGAGAAGCTGGTGCAGATGCTCAATGACCGTGTCGCTTTCCTTTTGGATCCTGTGCAGTTTCGATGACATCGTGTGCCTGGCCGACTCCTCGTCCCTTTCCGACGTCACCCTGGATGGCAACCCAATAGCCCAGGAGACATGGTACAAGCCCACCGTTCTCCATCATATGATGCAGCTGCGGCAGCTAGACATGAAGAAAATCACAGTAAGGAAAGCGTCCTCTCGGGACGTCGTCTCGCCGGGCGTTAAAACTTTTCTTTTTTATGTCAAAACTTTTATTTGGGGTATAACAACACATTCAACATTACATTACATTTCTATTATCACATATCCCTTTCTATTCACTCCCCCCCCCCCTTTGGTGGCTTCCCGGAATGCTCTTCCCCCTTTTCCCCCCTTTCTCATTTATATTTCTATTTTCCCTTTCCCCTTATCCTCTTAAATTTCTAGGTAGCAGTATCTTAATCTAAACATTCCAAACCTTTATATATTTCAGCCCTTAATAATTATCAACGCAAAGTAAATTATGTTTTACATCCCAGTTTTTTCCCAGATATTCTTTAAAGTCTTTCCATTCTTCAAAAAAATTCTTGATCTTCTTTATTGTTAAGTTTCTTCGTTAATTTGTCCATTTCAGCCATGTGTATCACTTTCTGTATCCATTCCTATTTTTCTGGTATTCTATCCTGCTTCCAAGATTGTGCATAAGTCATTCTGGCAGTACTAATCAGGTACCACAACAGTGTCTTTTTTGTTACATTTACTTCTTCCATCTTAAGTCCGGGCGTTCAAACTTTTCTTAAACAGACACAGAGCGTTTTGTTCAGCCCCGTGCCGTCCTCTGAACTCTTTTCCGGGTTTGCAGCATGGCTGTTCATCAGGACTGCAGTCAAACAAATCCAGAGAAAGGATGCCAAGGAACAATAAACTGTGCTCAACCAAAAAAAGGATCCAAACTCTAATCAAATATATCGAAATATCACATAGAGGACACAGTCCAGTACAATCCAAACAACTGTGATGAAATTAGATAGAGGAAGCCACGCTGTACGTGCAAAGTACACTGATATTTTAAGGAATCCGGGACCACGCCCGATCTCTTACCAACTCATACACCAGAACTCTCATAACATAGAGCACAGTCTTCAGCATTTCAATAGTCCCATGGAGGGTTTCAGAATTCACTGGAGTCTGGTGGACGAACTAATGTAGGCTCCTCCAGTATTCTTCTGACACGCGAGCTAGCTTACGAAAAGCCACGATTCGCCCAAGGCTTCTTCACAAAGACAGACCCCCGAGTCTCCTGCTCCGAAAGGAGAAATTTCACCAACATCCACCCACTCTTTTCCTACGCAAGGGTGCCGTCCGTCCAGATCAAAGTCGGAATGGTTTTTTCGTTGAGCACGCTTTATTGTTCTCTGGCATTAATTAGGACCGCGGCAGGCTCCTGCGCCCGGAACCCTTGGTGCCTTGATCGTCAGTCCTGGGACGCGGAGCAAGAACCGAGCAGCCGGTTCTGCGGGTCTCGGACTTCCGTTTCTCCAGCAGCAGCTCTCTTGATAAAGGAAGGAGAGGGTCTGTGGTGGGGAACTGTGTCAGTCTGCGGTAGTAGAGCCAGGTTCGAATCCAGTAGCACATTATGGACCAATGAGGTTTTTGGGGTGTGAGCTTCTCGAGAATCAAAACTCCCTTGGTCAGACACTCTTGTAAGATAGTTTCAGAGGGTAACCGTGTCTGCCCGTGGTAGAAGAGCCAGGTTTGAGTCCCAGCAGCGCCTTAGAGACCCACAAGATTTTTTGGGGGGTATGACTTTGAGAGTCAGAGCTGCTTCCGTCAGATACTAGTGGATTTCCACTCCATGTTGCCGAACGTTGCGTCTTCTGTTTTAGTCTGTTTTAATTGTTTTTAACTGTATCGTGTGCCATATTCAGATGGTTTTATGTTTTTTTGTGATGCCAAATGGCCTTGTAAGCTGCACCGAGCCTGCTTCGGCAGGGAGGGCGGGGTACAAATATAATAACAACAACAACAACAACACCACCCACGCCGAGCTCCCCACTACTCCCCGGGAAGAATGGTGGGCTGGGCACCTCCCGAGACCCCAATCCCCTCCCTCAACACCCACCGCGGGGCAGGGGACACCCGGACAGACAGAAGATGGGGGAACGGACTGGCAAGGAACGCAATGGGGACGACCTGAGACGTGAAGGGGGGAGGGCGCGGTTGAGAGAATGGGACAGTTGGCTTGTTCCAGCCTTACCCCCGAGGAGTACTGGTGCCGAGGACGCCGTCATTAGCCCCGTTGCACAAGCAGGAAGTAGGCACTCCCTCACCCACACAGCACTAGTTATACAGGAAGGCGGGCCTAAGGAAGAGGAAGGTCACTGGGATAGGAGCACGGTGATGGGCAGGTGACACAGCCTATAGAATTAGTAATAGCCAGAAGGGGGTGTCACCAAGGGGTGACGCTGGGCTATAAAAAGGAGGAGACTGACGAGTGCCGGGGAGGAATGGAGGATTGATCTCAGAAGCCACTCAGAGAGAACGGAGGTCTGTCCGGGGAAGGAAGCTGGGGTGACGTAACCCCAGACCTTCCCAATCTGAGGCGCTCGTTTCCTCTCCCCATACTTCAACACGGCTACCGGGGTTTCTAGACCTGGGGCGGACCCCGAGTGTGACAATAATAGAAGACAGCTGTGTTGATCTGCAGTAGAAGAGCCGGGTTCGAGTCCAGTTGCACCTTAGAAACCAATGAGATTTTCGGGGTCCGGTCCTTCGAGAATCAAAGCTCCCTCCGTCAGATAATCTCGTAAGCTCATGTTGGCCTCCGAGGTGTTACCGGACTGGACCTTGCAAAGTGGTTCGGTCTGTGGTGTGGAAACCTCTCGTTGAAAGATGTGCACCCCTCTCCAGGTCAGAAATCCCACGGGGAATGCCCAGTCTGATCGGGCGTCCTTACCCCGCCGTTCACAGCTGTAGTCGTGTACCTCTCTTTTTGCTGAGGCCGAGAGAGGGGGCGACTTGGCGCCCCGGTAAGGCTGTGATGGACCTGAAGGTTTGAACAGATGGACAGGTGATAGGTCACTAGGGGAATACTGAGTGGAATACCGAGTCAGGTCCCAGCGAAATACCGAGTCAGGTTCAAGATTCCGGTGTTGACCGTCAGGGCCTTGAGTGGTCTGGGAACTGCATATCCTTGAAGAAGCAGCAGCAGAAGAAGAGATTGGATTTGTACCCCACCCTTCACTCAGAGTCTCAGAATGGCTTACAATTTCCCTCCCCTCCCCACAACAATCTCCCATCAGCTCGTGGTCCCTTCAAGAAGAAGAAGGAGGAGGAAGAGGAGAAGGATGATTTATACCCCACCCTTCACTCGGAGTCTCAGAGCAGCTTACAATCTCCTTTTCCCCTTCCCCTTCCCCTCCCCACAACAGACACCCCGTGACTGCTAGGCGGGGCTGCGAGAGCTCCTCCGAGAACTGCTCTCTGGAGAACAGCTCTGAGAGAACTTGTGACTGACCCAAGGTCACCCAGCTGGCTGCATGTGGAGGCGTGGGGCCTCAAACCCGTTTCTCCCGAATTAGAGTCCGCACTCTTAACCACTACACCAGACTGGCTCTCAAATTGGAGACACCTATCCTCCTATAAAATAAAAGTCTTACTCAGAGAGAAAAGAGCACGGCTTCCTAGCAACTCTGACTTTTCAGGCCAGCGGCTGCTGACTCCTTGGCCTTTCCCCTCTGTAGCCGCAGGACAATTTCGGCACAAGTGATTTTTTGGTTCTTATTACCATTTTTTGTTAGGAATAACATGGACCTCCTGGTGGACCTCCTGGTGGCCCCTGGGTTTTGGCCACTGTGTGACACAGAGTGTTGGATTGGATGGGCCATTGGCCTGATCCAACATTGGCTTCTCTTATGTCCTTATGTTCATCGCTTTCCCCCTTTTCCGGCGGCAAGTCCGAATTGAGACGTCTGTAGCCCTGATGCGATCTGGGCAGCACCAGCGATCGAATCCGTGCCCACGTCCTCCACCAGGGGGAGCCACGGGCACGACAGAGCGCCAGATGTAGTCTTCGATTCTTTCCCCCCAGTTCTCACACGGACCTCAGCTGAAATGATTAAAGGCGGCCGCAGGGCCCGATGAAAGACATCCTTCAACAAGAGGGGAAACTCGAGAGAGAGAGACAGACAGACCCCGCGGTCGCTCTTTCTCATGAGAACACCTGTGTGCTCTCGGCTTCCAGAGTTCATGGTTTTAAAATATCAACGAACGCAGCTTTCAGAGCGGCTCTTTCAAGGGTCCGGAGGCGGGCGCGTACCCCCAAAGTGCAGCTCTCGGTAGGATCTGTCCGGAAGGGGGCACCTCTGACCCCGTCAGTGGAAGGCGACTCTCTACCCGCCCCCCAAGCCCTCTTGCACTATTTATTAGCCCTTTGATATCTCACTTTGTTTTTCTTGGGTATAACTTGAAGGGGTCCGAAGACCGAAAAGGTTCCTCTCTTGGGTCTGTCTTCATCACTTGGCTTCCCCTGTTTTTGCGCGCCAGTTCCTGTGTGTATCTCGTACAGCCGCGCTTCCTTTCCCTCGGGGGGTTTGTTGAATCTGCATAAACCAGGTAACCAAGGAAAGTCGTTCAGTCCAAAAGTCTGAAGTTTAGCAACATTTATTTCAGCATAAGCGTTTGTCAGTCAGAACTCTTTTGATGTTTTTTAATCAGTGTTGCTCTGTAGTGCAATAAACTTGTAACGATCTGTTAGTTCCTTTGAATTTTTGGCTTTTGTTTTTCAAAGAGTTGCCAGTCAGGCCCGCGGCTATGATGGGGCTTTTGGGGGGCCCATTCCCTTTCTTAGAGGCACAGCCCCACAAGAATGTCTCCTGTACATGCTTTTTTTCAGTCATTTAAATCTTTTTAAAAGGCGTGCACTCCTTTAAGCAGAGTGGGGTGCTGTAGTTGACTAATTCCCGCACTGAGACAGGGGGTTGGAGTAGGTGACCTCTAGGATATCTTCTAACTCTGTCAAGAAATTAGTCTCCTTTAAGAGAGTTTTTCTGCCTAAGTGTTAGCTTTCATGACTATAGAAGTCATCACCCCCATCTGTTCTCAGAACTGTTCCTTAGGCTGGCAGAGTTGATTAACTTGCAGAACTGTCATCTAGAATGGTCGACCGCTTGCAGTTTAGAGATCTATCCTGGTAACAGCTTTCTGTTGGCTCAATGGCTTTTCTTTCTGCCCTGAGAACTTCAGCCCCACCAGAATTTTTTTTTGCCCCACAAGCCACCAAATCCTGGCTACGGGCCTGTCGCTAGCCCTTTTTGTTGCGGAGATATAAAGGGAAAGACGTACACAGTTTTTGTCCACGTTGCCTTGAGATGTCAAAGATTAGAAGCTGAGGCTTCTGCATGCAGAGCATGCCCTTGACCACTCTGCCTCCGTACCTGGGTTGGGGCCCACGGATCCATTCTGCTAGTCGGGCTTACTTCCCGTGCAAGAAGCTCTCCTCTGAAGAAGCCTTCAGAAATCTGACTTGGAAGTGAGTGGGTCGCTCGGGGAGAGTCACTTCTCCGTTCCCCATTCCACAGAACGGAGGAGACTTAAGAATAATCCTTCCAAATATCCTAATTGCCTCTCTCGGCTCAAAAGCTGGGTCCTGTTTCTCCCGAAAGCGTTCTATTTATAACAAATGTTATGCTTTTAGAAGCCTCCTGATAAATGTTCAGGAGGGACGGATAAATCAAAATTAGCCTAGTAGCCCGTTTCATAAAATATTTGTGTTGGAGAACCTCTCTAAACGTTTGATTTCATAGCAAACGGCGCGTCGTTACGTACCCGGGGGGGGGGGGGGTGGGGGGG